CGCGTCGCAGCTCCAGGCCGAGCTCAAGGCCATGGGCGTGTCGACGCTCGGCATGCTCGAGAAGACGGAGCTCGTCGCCGCCTACGCGCAGGCCGTCGGCGAGGGCAAGACCGCCGCGGCGCCCGACGCCGCGGCCGCGCCGGCCGCCGCGGCCGCGCCGGCGGCCGCCGCGAGCGGCCCGAGAGACGGCGGCGGCGGCGACGATTCGGCGGCGGCGGCGGCGAAGATGCGCGTGTCCCAGCTCCAGGCCGAGCTCAAGGGCATGGGCGTGTCGACGCTCGGCATGCTCGAGAAGTCGGAGCTTGTCGCCGCGTACGTCGCCGCGGTCGCCGCGGGCGCGACGCCGGGCGGCGGCGACGACGAGGAGCGCGTCTTCGACCCGGACGTCATCGAGCTCAAGACGACGAAGATGCCGCGCGCGGGCGACGGCGCCGGCGGCGCGGCCGACGGCGGCGGCGGCTCGCCCTTCGGCGGCGGCTCGCCCTTCGGCGGCGGCGGCTCGCCCTTCGGCGGCGCGGCCGGCGGCTCGCCCTTCGGCGGCGCGGCCGGCGGCTCGCCCTTCGGCGGCGGCGGCGGCGGCGGCGGCGGCGGCTTCGACATCGGCTCCCTCTTCAACATGATGGGCGGCATGGGCGGCGGCGGCGGCGGCGGCGGCGGCGGCGGCATGGCCGGCCTCCAGGGCCTCCTCCAGAAGGCCATGGGCGACCCGAAGCTCATGGCGACGATCCAGCAGGCCGCGCAGAACCCCAAGGTCATGGCCGCGGTCCAGGACGTCATGGCCAACGGGCCCGGCGCCGTGAACAAGTACGCCAACGACCCGGAGATCAAGCCCATCCTCGACCAGCTCAAGGGGATCCTCTAGCGCTCCGCGGTAAGGTTTAATAAAGCCCAGGCCCAGATCGACCTCGGGCGACCCGAGGCCCGGGCCGCCGCCGCGTCAGTGGCCGCCGCCCCCCCTCTCCGCGTTGAGGCGCTTCTGCTCCTCGATGGCGTTGAGGCGCGTGAACTCCTTCTTGTGGTGGAGGCACTCGATGTAGTCCTCCTTGGCCTGCGGCGCGGGCCGAGGGTCGCGGCGCGCGAGGGCGGCGGTCGAGGCGGCGGGCGCGCGGTCGGCGGCGGTCGCGGCGGTCGCGGCGGCGCGCGGCCCGACGCGGTCGGCGCGGCGGCCCGACGCGGTCGGCGGCGCGCGCGGCCGGCACGCGACGGTCCGCGCGTCCGTTCGCCGCCGCGGCCGCGGGTGCGTTTTCGCGCGCGGCGGCCCCGCGCGCGCTCCCGCGGCGGACGCGGCGGCGCGCGGGGACGCAGAGGACCTTGTCGTCGGTCTCGGCCATGCATTGCTTGAAGGACATCCAGTACTTGTAGCAGCGGCCCTCGCCGCCGAAGGCGCCAAAGCCCGACGACATGGCGGGACCGAGGCAGCGGGCACGGCGCGGCGGCGGATAGCGGTGAGGCAGCGGGCGCGGCGCACGGCGAGACACAATAACCAGGCCAAAAGCCGTGATCACCGTGACTGGCAAGACGCTGAGGCAAGGTGGTCACCATCGACTTTTATATCTTGGCTCTCCCAGCGCGGCGGAGACATGGGCAGCCCGTGAGAGGCATTGGGCCGCGCCAGCCCTCTCGGGGCGGCGAGAAAGAAGCACCGCCATGGCGGCGTCGACGTTCAACGTCATGGAGGGCCGGGTGGAGGCGACGAAGCGCGAGGTCAAGGAGGAGCAGTGGGGCCTCGTGGACTTTTTGGGCAAGTACCACAAGCACATCATCAAGAGCGAGAACCCCATCCCCGGCACGGCCGTCGCCGCCGACGACCGGCGCGAGCGGGCCTGGTCCGACCGCCTCGCGTCGATCCGGGGCCGCATCGAGGACATCGAGGAGCGGCACGGCGCGAACGTGCGCGGCCGCGTGTCGCACGCGACGTTCGAGCTCAAGGCCCAGATCCAGAAGCGCGTGGGCTCGACGCTGGACCGCATCGGCGGCGTCATCGACGACATCGACGACGAGGTCGCGGCGATCCAGTTCGAGGCGTCGGGCCAGTCGCGGCGCGCGACGGAGGCCGAGGAGGCGTTCGAGCGCGAGCGGCGCGCCAAGGACGACCGCGTCGTCGTCGGCGACGGCGAGTTCGAGGACGAGGGCGCGCTGGCGGGGCTGAGCGACGCGGCCAAGGCCGCCGAGGCCGCGGCGAACGCCATGGAGGTGCTGGGCGCCGCGGCCGACGACCGCAAGTGGTGGGGCTACGTCCGCGGCCGCGACCTCTTCGGCATGGAGAAGATGTTCAAGGGCGGCTACGACCGCATCGACCAGCCCGAGCCCGTCGCCGGCGCGGCGCCGGGCGTCGCCGTCCACGTCGCGACGCGCCGCGGCGACGTCGACATGCTCCGGCTGCTCCTCCGCTACGGCGCGAACGCGAACACGCGGAACGCGCTCGGCGACACGGCGCTCCTGTCGTGCTGGGCCTTCTGGCGCAACTCCCACGCGGCGGACCGGCTCACGCAGAAGGACGACGACGCCCGCGACCGCGCGGCGGGCCACGAGCGGACGACGGTCGCGCTTTTAGCGCTCCTTTTAGCGCACGGCGCGGACGCGAACGCGCCGCGCCAGGACCGGTCCACGGCGCTTCACGAGGCCGTGCGCCGGGGGCCCGTGCTCGCCGTGCGCGCGCTGCTCCAGTACGGCGCGGACCGCGACAGCGCGGACGTGGACCGCGAGACGCCCTTCTCCATCTCCACGGACCAGGTCAAGGCGGACACGGCGAGCGACTGGGTCTACGGCGCCAAGACGGCGCCGTCGCCGGACCACCCCTTCGGCCTCAAGGCGCGCTTCAAGCGGCGGAACCCGGACCGCGCGGAGATCTTCCAGCTCCTCAAGCTCTGGCCCGCGGTCGCCGCGGAGCAGAAGGTCGACGAGTTCTACCAGCTCTGGGACGCGTGGATGCGGCGGACGACGGCCGACGGCGCCACGGCGCCGCGGGACCTGCGGGAGACCATCTCCGCGGCGCGCGTCATCGAGAACACGGCGCTCGACATCTGCCACAAGCAGCTCGCGACGTCGCAGAAGATCCGCGCCTACGGCACGCCGTTCTGGTCCTACGACGCCGTGCGGCGCACGCTCTGCTGCGGCCAGCTCCGGGCCAAGGACGAGGACGCGCTCGCGGCCATGCGGCGCCGCTTCGACGACGGGAGCCTCCTCGCGCCGACGCCGAACCACTACGGCGCGGGCGACCGCAAGGTCTCCGCCACGCGGCACCGGGGCCTGTCCATCGGCGGCGCGGAGGCGCAGCAGCTCAAGTTCAACAAGAGCCGCCACGCGTCCGAGCACCTGCCCCTCCAGGTGCCCCTGGACCGGTACCTGCTGCGGTCCGCGTCCGCGGCCGACGCGGGCTTCACGGAGGTCCGCGACAAGGTGTCCGAGGAGGAGCAGGAGCGCGCGCGCGCGCTCGAGCGCGTCGAGGAGCGCGCGGCGGCGAAGCGGCGCGAGGAGCGGCGCCTCGCGCGCCAGCGCGCCATCGCGCGGCAGCGCGAGGTCCAGCGGAGCCGCGACGGGAGCCGGCCCGCGTCGTCGGCCGCGTCGACGGGCTCCGCGTCCTGGTCCCTGTCCGCGGGCGGCCGGGCGCCGCCCCCCGGCGGCGCGCTCGCGGCGATCTACGGGTCGGGCACGGAGCGGCGGCGCACGGCGGCGGCCCTGGCCTGCGCGGCCGACGGCCTCGACGAGCGGACGCTGCGGCGCGCGGCGACGAACTCGTGCGTGCTCCACACGCAGCGCGAGCGGCCGCCCGTCGCCGCGGGCGGCGCCGCGCTCATCGCCAAGATCAACGAGGAGCTCGCCGAGCTGCGGACCTACGGCAAGCTCACGGGCGCGCGCGAGCAGGCCGCCGCGCGGAACCCGCTCGAGGTCGCGAGGCAGCGCAAGGTCGCGCGCAAGCCCGGCGCGGCGGCCAAGGACGCGCTCGAGGACGACGTCGACGTCGGCGACAGCGGGTCCATCCTCCTCGCGCTCGGCGACGCGCGGCGGCGCAAGGCCGCGAACGACCGGCGGCAGAACGAGGCGTCGGACCTGCCGCCGCAGCGCCGGGCCATGCGCTTCTCCGAGGACCTGCCGCCCCAGATCCTGCCCCCGGAGGCGCGGCGCCACAGGGCCTTCCCCTGGTCCATGCAGTGGCCCCCGGACGAGGCCAACAAGGTCTCCGAGGTCACGCACAACGACCTCAGCCGCCTCTACGCCATCATCAACGAGACCGAGGAGGCCGTCAACCTCCAGCAGCGGCCCCTGGACCCGGCCCTCGTCGTCCACGAGGAGGTCACCTGGTAACGCGCGGGGTCGAGCGCCCGCGGGGGACGACCGGGGGGGGGGCGGTCGCCCGGCACGGCGCCTCGATCGACGCGCCTCCCGCGCCGGCGACGACCGCTCGGGCCGGCTGCTTACGACGCGCGGCTAGCGGCCCGGCGGCGGCGGCGGCGACCGCGGCGACGCGACGGCGCCGGCCGCGGGCGGCGGGACGACCTTGAGGACGCCGCCGCCGAAGGACGGCTTGTGCTTGATGGAGTAGAGGAAGTCGAGGACGCCCCCGGCGGAGGGCCGCTCCTCGGCGTCGTACTGCCACATCGTGTTGATGAGGTCGCGGATGGGCTTCGGCGTCTTATGGAAGAGCGGCCGCTTGCCCGCGTTGAGCGCGCCGAGGTGCAGCGACGGCTTGCCGCACTCCGGGATGCCCGGCAGCACGCGCTCCCAGACGAAGTAGTAGACCATGGCCAGGCTGAAGACGTCCGCGGACGCGTTGTACTTTTGCGTCTTCGAGCCGTCCGTCGCGGCGACCTCGGGCGCCATGAACCGGACCGTGCCGCAGTTGGACGTGAGGTCGTCGCCGGGGGGCACCTCGGCGTCGGCGACGGCGGCGTCGTGGAGCGACCCGCAGGAGCTCACGCCGTGCATGGAGCTGTCGAGCATGGACGTGAGCGACTCGGCCGACTGGTGCGCGTCCTTGAGCGGCTTGCCCGCCTTCGACCGCGCGATGCCAAAGTCGCCGAGCTTCACGCGCAGGCTCGCCGTCAGCAGGAAGTTCGCGGGCTTGATGTCCCGGTGGATGACGATCGACGGCTGCCGGCTGTGGAGGTACTCGATGGCCAGCGCCATGTCGATGCAGATCCGGAGGCTCGTCTTCTGCCCGGGCTTCTCCCGCGGCACGAAGCGCTCGACGCTCCCCTCGGGGAAGAGCTCGATGACGAGCGTCAGGGCGGGCGTCCGCGCGTAGCCGAGGAACTGGACGATGTTCGGGCTGCGCGGGGGCGGGCGTCGGGGATTCGAAAACGAGGGAAAAGGACGAATCGCGCGGCGCCGCGCTGGTGGAGCGTCGCCATCATGCGCACCTCCTTCTCAAAAAGCACCTTGTCCTCCGCCTGGGCGTCGGCGAAGAGGATCTTCAGCGCCACGGGCGTGTGTCGCCACTCGGCGGCCCTGCGCGCGGGGTTCGAGGCGCTCTCGCGGCGGCGGCGGCGCGCGCGCGCGGGACGCCGGCGGCGCGCATGACGATGCCGAAGGAGCCGCGGCCGAGCTCGACGCCGAGCTTGAGCGTGTCGTTGCTGATCTTCCAGTCGTTCATCTCCCGCATCTTCATGCCGCGGCACCTTGCGTTGCACCCGAGAACCACCGGGTGGACGATGGCAAGCGACGACGCGCGCGCGCGTTCCGCGGCGACTTTGGTGCGCGTGCGCGGCTCCTGCGGACCGTATGCACGCCGTTCGACGCGCGTCGCGGGGGCGTGCAGCGGAAGAACAGGCTACCTCGCTCTTCAGAGCACGCTCAGATTGTGCTGTCCACGCCTTCAAGGATGATCGAGCCACGAAGGCTCCACGATCGTGCTGTTTGGGGCTTCGGCGTCTCCGCACCACACGAACGCCAGGCCCGAGTTTTCTGCTTGGATAAAACCAGAGGTCTTAGTTGACAAAAGCTCGGCCGACCCGCTGGGTCGGGTCATTCCACGCGCGCGAAACTCGCGACTTGCGGCACCATTGAAGAAAGAGGAATCTTCCATCGCTGTCTCCTTTTCGTGAATCTTGGGCGCCGAGGAGTGGGTGCGCTTCTCTTGCCCAGGGGGGGGGGGGCTCTTAGTTTGTTGCGACGTGTGTCGTGGGAGGCGCCAGCTGCCGGGGCTGCGGCACCACGCCGCGCGCGGTGGCCGGCGCGCGCGCGCGCGCGCTCTGTCCGCCGCGCCCCCAAGGAACTGTCGCCTCCGTCGTTTGGAGCTCCGGAGAGCGCCCGAAAAGTCGGCGCGACGCGGCCGACGCGGCTGCCGCGGCCATCGCGCCTCGCCAGCGGCAGACGGAAGCCAAGGCGTAAGCCACTCAGTGGCTGCTGCGAAACAGGACACGATGCTGGCCCTCCGGTGCGCCCGCGCGCGCCGCCCCCGCCGCCCATCGCTGCCCGCCCTCCGCGCGCGTGGCAGCGCGCGATGTCGCGCGCGGCGCGCCGCCCATCGATGCCCGCCCGCCGCCCGCGCAGCACCGCGCGCGCCGTCGCGCTGCGCTCCGGCGCGCGCACGAAGTTCACGCTGCCGGCGCTGTCCTACGACTACGGCGCCCTCGAGCCCGTCATCAGCGGCCAGATCATGGAGATCCACCACAGCAAGCACCACAACACCTACGTGACGAACCTCAACGCGGCCGTCGAGACGCTCGAGCAGGCGACGGCCGCGGGCGACGTCACGGCCATCGTCGCGGCGCAGGGCGCGATCAAGTTCAACGGCGGCGGCCACCTCAACCACTCCATCTTCTGGGAGAACCTCGCGCCGCCCTCCGAGGGCGGCGGCGCGCCGCCGACGGGTCCGCGCGCGCGGCGTCGTTTCGCGCGCGCGCGCTCCCGCGAAACCGTCGTTCCCCGCAGGCGCGCTCGCCGCGGCGATCGACGCGGAGTTCGGCGGCGTCGACGCGATGAAGACGAAGCTCTCGGCCATGACCGTCGGCGTCCAGGGCAGCGGCTGGGGCTGGCTCGGCTACAACAAGGCCACGGGCAAGCTCGCGCTCGCGACGTGCCCGAACCAGGACCCCCTCGAGGCGACGACCGGGCTCGTGCCCCTCTTCGGCATCGACGTCTGGGAGCACGCGTACTACCTCGACTACAAGAACGTCCGGCCCGACTACGTCTCCGCCATCTGGGGCCTCGCGAACTGGGCCGACGTCGGCGCCCGCTACGACGCCGCGTCCAAGTGAGGACGTCGCGCCCTGGTCGTCCAGCGAGCCGCGAGCAGAGTAACCTCTGTCGTCCTTCTTTTTGGGGTTGTACGTCTCTACGAGGGTGATCGTCTTTTACGTCGCTACGAGCCCGACGGGGCTGTCGCGGACGCCGGCGCGTTCTCGGACGGACGCGCGCGCCAGGTCGCAGCGCGTCAAGCCGTGTGGCCGCTTCTCGCCGCCGCCGGATGCTTGGGCCTGCGGTCGAGTGCGTGTCATGTCGGCGTCGCGGCGAAGGACGGACGATCGAGACCCCCCGGAGACCCCTCGGACCTAGTAAACATGCATGAAATTCAACTCACATGGGCATTGCGGCCCATCGGTACCCCTGCGCGAGGTATAGAGTAAAGTTCTTCACAGGGAACACACGAGAGAGCCCGCCGCGCGGCCGCTCGCCTTCGCCTCGCCTTCGCCGCGGCGCCGCGCGGTCGCCTGCGATGATGTCGCGCGAGTTTTAACGGGAAACCGAGACGGTCGGCCGACGTTTTGCACGGCGTCCCCGGCCACCCAGTACGATCACGCACTATCTTCCACGGGTAAATATGTTGTGCGCGGCCCGATGGGCAGCGGGCGCGCACGACCGTCCACGTGGGTGAGTTTTTCGGTGCTGGACGCTGGTGATGTGCGGAACTCTGGTTCTGGTGCTTGTTTTACGTCTCTCTGGCAACTGCGCGGCTGCACGCGGCGCTCGCGCGGCTTCACACGGGCGCTCGACGGGCTGCACGCGGCGCTCGCGCGCCTCGAGAGCGAGCTGCCACAGGCCTAGGCTATTTGCCCTAGCGAGCAGCGAGCCGATCGGCAATCAGCGACGCCTCGCTCTGCAGCTCGTCGACTCAAGATGGTCTCGCCGGCGTCTTTATTCGCCCCTGACCCACGAGAGAACGCGCCGGGACCGCTGTTTCGTGCGACGGACGCTCGGCGAACCTCTGCTGAAGCGTTTGTCGTCGACGGCGACCGGGGCGACGGACGCGGGCGCCGGGTTCCAGCCGACGGCAAACACGGCGACGCGCGGCGGGCCGCGGCGGCGCGGACCCGTTTCGGGCCGTCCCGCCGCGTGCCCGCGGCCGCGCCGCAGCCGTCGGCGCCTGTCGCCCGTCACCGGCTTCCCCCGGGGGCCCCGCGCGCGCGGCCGGCGG